TCGTATAATGTGCGCAGGTAGTAGTACGTAATCAATGGAAAAATTCACAACTCGGTTAGGTGAAAGTCTATAGAGCAGAAAAAATCGGTGTAGCGAAGCAATGTCTAAGGTGTTCCCAGCATACATGACGTGAGCGGAGACCGCCCACAATGGGCGGAGCGTGCCTGAAGTACACAGCGTTTCCTACAAGTCCTCATAATTCGGTTCCGAGAAGTCTTGGAGAGCGGGAAAAAGGTGGATAGAGGTTAGAGAAGAGGGAGAGGTTGAATGCTAAAGGTGGGCGCGGCGTGCACAAAAGTGGGCGGAGTTTGCTACAAATTTATAACTCGGTTCCAAAAAGCCGTACCAGGAAAAAAGGGAGTAACGACGGAAGTGATGCTAACTGTGCACCAAAAAGGAGGGGTTATCCACGAAACATTATGAATCGGTCGCAAGAGGACCTGGAGACCGGAAAAAAGTGGAGCGAGCCTCGCAACGGAAGGGAGGTCAACTGCTATTGGTGTGTGGGACGTGGGCCAATGCGGGCGGAGTTTGCGTCAAAGTTATGATTCGGTCCCAAGAATTCCTGAAGACCGGAAAAAACGTCCTTCAAACCGCCACTGGCCTCTCACCAATGTTTCTGTTCTGACGGAACATTAGGGGAAAAACCGAAAACCCAAACGAGAGAAACGAAACGTCAGGCCAGTAATAAGGACTCCATCTAAAAACCTCGTTGGCAGAAGAACATTATAATTACTGATTTAATTTCCGGCGCAACGGGTGAAGAACTGTGCGCGCCAATGGAAAGCACGCGACGAAGCCGCACGTTGCCGCATCTCTACTCAAAGTAACTGTTACGGAGAGCGGAGAGGAGGGGGAGGCGGGGATGGTATCGAGATTCTTCAAGGGGAAGGGGTCGTAAGACGCTCGAAATCGGTTAAACGTGACGGTTGACCGTGGCTCGGGGAGGCGTTGTGAAATCATCAAGGCGGGAGCTAAGAGTGGGTGTATGTCAACAGAGTCGTTTGGACCCCGCGCTGCTGGTCATGGCCGCGACGTTGCAACTGCAGTGGACGAGTTTCTGTGTGCGTCATTCTAACTGAACGTTAGAGGAACGCTCTGTGAACCCGTCTCTTCAACATTCAACTTCAATCAATGCGCGCATAGTTTCAATTCCTTCAAACTTTTTTCTTTTGTGTTTTTCAATATTACTATTATGAAATCGAAAACAATTTTGTTCACGCCACTTTCTAAGAAAAAGCCAGAGCATGGGAGTTGGAATTTGGTATCCGCGCCCCACAGAGATTATTGTGAACTGCAGGAAATTCGTTGCTCTACCTCAAATCCAGAAAAATTCCGCGAATCGTGACGCCGCTCAAGTGGCCGCGCGCGGAGGCGTCTCTCGACTGGACGATTCCGTAGACCGTTCCCTCCTGACAGCTGGTCCCCGACTGGAGAGATAGTGGAAATCAGGAGAGGCGAGACTGTCAAACGAGGGATCGACAATATGGAATAACTCATTACAACTTCAACCAAATCAGTAGTTTTACACATGGTTAGACTCGCCACAGAGAGACGAGTCCATTGCTGTAAAGATCTTTCATTTTACCCGCTTTCAGGAAGTTATGAATGGTGCGACGGTTTGCGACGCTACAAAACCGTCGCGACGCTACAAAACCGTCGCAACGCGTAGATGTTTCAAAAATTAGGAGCAGTATTGTACTGTTTGAAATAACAGCAAGGTTTCCAGTACACCAGAAGAAATGCAACTTTCAGCATTAATTTCATAAACATAGTGCCATTTTATTCGAAACTCTACACTTCTACACTTACTAGAGAGCAGAAAGCTTGTGAATTTCAAAGCTATTTTTACTTCTGTACAAAACTGTTCACGAAAGAATGTTCCTATGTTCCTAAATTATGTTCCTGAAGACGTAACAACGTATTGAAGGAAGACTTGTCCTTCTCGGTACTCAGAAAGAAACCCTTACCGGAGCCATTTTCGACGTACTCAACGTAGCAGTTCATCCCAGTAATTTTGGTATAGGAAAAAATGCTATAGGTCACAGCGTCTGATTTAGAAAAATCCTCTAGGTCACAGCGCTTTATTTACTTTTTTGAGTAAATGCATTTGAAGGAGGATATGGCTTTTGAAAGAGGAAAAACTTGCGCTTCCCAAGAATTTTTCTCGCTAATTAGTGATTCCGAGATTTTTCCGCTTTTTTCTGTTTTTCTGCTTAAACCAAAAACCATTAGGAAGTACTCGTCGAGAAACTTCTGAATCTTCTTTAAGATGGCAATACTTCACGTTGAAGATAGTTATGGCCATTTGAATTTTCGTTCAATTTTTAACGTGTTTCGTTGGTAGCTCAACTGCTACAAGGTCGACGCATGCGCTGCAAGATCACGTAATTCTTTTCATAGGCCGCTTTTACTTAGAGGAGAACTGTGCAGGCAACCTTCGTTACTGGGGGTCGTATCTCATAATTTTTTGAGGCTTCTCTTGGCCCAGGCTGTCACCTAACGTACTTAGTGACTGACATGCTCTCTGACATACAAACCAACGCATCAAGCACATGATTTATATGATAAATGAAATAAATCATATATGCAGAGTCCTAAAGAAACAACCTGAGATGACTGTGAAAATGGTGACATGTAGTTATGGCGGATAGAAGTAAGGTGGCTGCATATACGGCTGCGCGAATGCTGTGTAATCGTAGTCAGAATGTGTCTGAAATCAGCACTTGCAAAAGATCTGCTAACCATAAGAGGAAAGAGGAGCAGGTTGCTAGTTTGAAGCATGATATCGCAGCGTTTTTGTTACACGTGTACGTACAGTCAATGCATGTTTTCTCGCATAATTGTTGTCTTGTTGTTTTTTGTGTATGTTTTCTTCCTTACTTTACGTGCACGGAATAGTTTGCTCCATTTAAAACATAGTGTGGAGAATTGATGCGTGCTTTCTCTTTTCAGAACATTTGCCTGATAACATTATCAATTTGAATGGAAAACATTCGTTTTTCAAGTCCGAGCAAGTGCTCAGGTACCAACCCCTACGAGTGCAGATTGCTATTGAGAATAAGGCAGACAAAAAAGATGGCCACAGCTTGAAAAGAGTCAGTGCCTCGGGGAAGCCTTCACTGACTTTTATCAATAATATGACCACAGATTTGTGCCTTGCCAATAGTCCAGATTGGAATCCATGCGCTTCTCTGCTCAACATATTGTTGGATAGCTCCTTGAAAAACGAAACATGAAAATGTGGTGGCTGAAAAGAGCTGTTTGAAATTGGGAAAAGTCAGTACTTGAACACCTCCACGGCGTCATCAACGAAATGAGGCCTAAATTAAAAGTGGTGGCGAACATTTCGAATTTTTTGTATTATCAAGTGTTTTTGTTCGTTTAATAAGCACACTGGTATGTACTTTTTCTGCTTCACACCACCACTTTATTTTTCGTTTCCTTCCATATTATACAAGTATTCAAATATAGAGCTTGGATGGGAAATTCAGGCTGCTACGTTTTAGAGAACTGCTATTCGTTGGCCTTCAGAGACCCAAACTGTGAAGTACTCCGGAGTTCGCAATCATTGGACCTTTCTTCGCTTGTCTATGTCTCCCAGCTTTGTTAGCCGCATTTACGTATAAGTTCCAAATAGAGGACTTCGACAATAGGCTTAACAGCGTTTTTGCCAGATCCTCTGATTTCTTGGGAAATGGAATCAAAGTCAGAAATAATGACAAAGACAATACCATGACTAGTTTTGAGTTTATGCATCGTTTCAAGGTTGGAGCCGAATGCAAGCGCTACGATATTATGTTTCAACCTAGTACCAAGTTAGAGCCCTTACAGGAGTATATCTGACTGGTTGACCATAGGCAGTGTAGTCGTAGGCCGAATCGGGCTGCAAAGGCAGTCACGATCTCAGTTGTGAAGAGCCACAGGTGAACTTAAAAACCCACCAACACATAGTGATGTTCGCGCGGAAAAGGGTAGTGGCTGTGATGGGCTGATGGCATGTAGAGATCCTGAAAACGGCAATGAGCTCAATAATAGCTGAGCTATGTCGTGCTCTGTCTGAATCGATGATTTCTCTTTTTTGAGGTCCTAATCTAAATTTCGATTACTATCCCACACAATTCCCGTCGACTGCAGCTCCCATATTGCAGGCTTAAAATTTAAAAAAATTGCAGTGAGTGTAGAAGCGAAACACATTCCTTCACATAGCAGAAAACTCTCTTCCGACCAATGTATGACTTGGTGGTGAACTTTGGGATTTAGCACAAAGTTTTCTGTTTGAAAAAAGCTACACCACTGGTAGGACAACCTATTATAAAGCACTATGCTGTGTCTGTGTATGCCACGAATTTCACAGAGCCCGCGTCGCAGTATGGTGGAACGTTGGCTCTTACAAGTGTGAGGGGGAAGCACGGAGAATCAGATGGTGATCCAATGTGATAACTACTGAGAAGGAGAGTCAGAACATAACCATCACCAATTTCATAGCTAATTTTGCTGTAAATGGGGAAAGTTGGTTCTGACGTAATGTGTAGAGGTTCACAGGAATACGCACGTGGTCAATAAACGGAATTGATAACAACTGATAACGTCCGACTCTTCGCGGTGACAGTAAACATTTTTATAGGAAGCCGAACACAGACAGATACGGTAGGTGACCGAAAGGCATCAGTTGATAAGAGCCGATAAGCTGCCTTCGAGTATAAATCTTATCAGATTTGCTGCTCCCTTCGCGGTCACAGTGGAACGTTGGCTTTATCAAAAATGAAGAGGGTAACTATGCAAATAGGAAGAAGAGCCAGGAGAAATAATGTTCGGACCGAAACACGGATGTAGTGGTGATGAAAAGGATAGCGACTAATATGGGCTGATAAAGGCCGCTAGAATGTGTGTGCCGCATCACACCATAGGCTACAGTCTACTAAGGAACCTGAACGTCAGACATCAGAATGGAACGATTTCACCGGAAAACCGCGCCGCTGCAAACTTAGGCTGAGCCCTAATGGTCCACAGGTGGTCCGTCTCACTGAAGCCTACTGTGTGCTGAGGTGCGCATGATAGCGTGCGGGCAAAACTAGTACATATACACACATACATAAAAATGCATTGGAACCGAAATA